TCTCGGGTTCTCCAGCCAGCCTAACAATTCAGCTTGTGCAGCCAGGGCAACGTCTCACCGCCTGCCTCCTCCGAGCTGCCCGGCGGAGCTCTCCACGCTGGCCTCTGGGTCAGCCGAAAGGGGAGCTCGGGGCTTCCCACTCCAGCTCCCAGGTGTGGGCAGAGGGAATAACGCGGGATGGAGGCTGTCCTGAGCAGCTTGGTCGGCTGGGCCGCTCTCTTGGCTGGAGCAGCGAGGAGGTGAGAGCGAGTCCCCACCATCCAGTGTGTTTTTGCAGGCGGAGGAGGAGGCCAAGCTCTGGCCCTCGACGCTGACCTGCACTGGGGACACACGGAGCCCTGTGACACCTTCGACAACCCTCCGCTCTGCCAGGAGAACTTCAAGGTGCAGCTCTTGGAAGCCTGGGGCTTTCAAAACACCTAGAGGATCCCGCTGCGCCGGGATCACCCTCGGCCTCACCGCTACGGTCTGGGCTGGCAGCGCCAGGGATGCCTCTGCGCTCTGCGACCCTCTGCCCAGCATCCTGTGTGCCCTGCCCTGCCATCACCAGCGGCCACGTCGGGAACAGGGGCAGGGAGCTGTCCTGGACTGTCCTGCAGGTGCTGCCTTCAGGGGGGTCCGAGAGGAGCGGAGCTCCCGGCGCTCCTCCCCAGCTCAATCCCCACCTGCTCCTTGGCCTCTGCCCAGGGGAGAGCTGAGCTCTACTCGGGGGTTCGACAGCTCTCCCGTTTGTGTGGCCGGGCTCTGCAGCAGACCCGTGATACAACAGCAAACAGGGGAGCTGTGAGTCTAGATAAATCCAGCTCGAAGGTAGAAAGTTCTAAGACTCACCATTCTCTATTGCACTGCAGTCCCAAGCTCAATACCCTCCTTGGACCACATGCAGAATTCTGGAGCCTTTGTGGGTTACCAGGATTCACTCAAGATGGGCACTGGTCATCATCCCACACAGTGCGGGAGATTTTCTTACTGTTCTTGGTTGAAATTGCTGACCAAAAATTAGCAAACTCCCTGCCCGTGAACTTTCCTTGACATGCTTGTGTAAAACCAAGACCTACGTTCACAGCAAAGGGTAGATGCTGCAGGACTGATGAAGGCAGTTAACGCACACAAGTCTAACCAACGTGCCCAGATTACCCAGCGTCAGGGTAACAGCGACAACATTTTAAAATATGAAAGAGGAACATCTAACTGTTGCCAGCTGAGACAATGCAACCCCTGCGGGAGGACTGTACATAAATTGTGCAAAGATAATTCTAGTTGCAGAATGAAAATGCGTCTATGCCACGTCCAAGTGTGTTTTTCATTTGTGGCTTTATCTTTCTTGCCATTTCCCAAGCTCTTCAGAGCAGGAGTTATCACTACCTCAATGCAAAGGGCTCCAGAGGTGCCAAGAGGGCATGGGGAGGAGCAAGCAGCAGCAGCAAGCTCACACACCAGCCAGTTATGCAGCAGCCTTAGCCATTACTTGGCTTCCAAACATATCAAGGGGAGGTAAAGGGATGAGACCCACATCTCTTCTTGCCTGGCCTCACTGAACTCACGTGAAAGAGCACAGGAGAATTACTCATTTTTCTTCATTTAAAGAGCTCTGCTAAGACATCTTCAATATTTCTTTCTTTCTGGGGCCATGCACACGACTTTCTGCCTAGCTGAGTTTCCCTTGAGAGCCCCCTTCCCTTCCCAGTCTCTATTTCTCTTCTCCACCCAGAGATGCAGAGGAAGAACGAGATGCCTGGCCCCTCATTAGGAATCCCCTCTGCAGCCTCTGGCCTTCAGAGCGTTTCTGGGCAAGCAGGTCCCATCTATTGCATTAAAACACGAGATATTGGGATTGCAGCGTTCAGGTTGTGGACGCCTCTGCTGCTGCAGGTGCTGAACATGTGCGACAGCCGCTCATCTGGACTGTAAATCACAGCGACTGGTGGGGCACTTACTGCATTGGGTGCCTGTGATCTGATGAGTGTCTGCTGTTTTTAAAAGGGAGGCTACAGCGCTTTCTTCCCTGCGCTTTATTCCATTACCACATAAAGTTCAGAACTCTTAGAGAATAATAAATTTTTTAAAAAAAGAAAAAAGAAAAGAAGAAGAGCAGAAGGGCAGGGAGGCTCAAGAGGGCCCTCCGCAGGGCCTCAGGCCGGCCCCGGGCTTCCCCGTCCGGGTGGTGCCGCAGCGGGAGCGGGACCCGGCAGG